TAGATTTTAATAATTAGTTAGTGATTTCAGCCAAATCTGTGTTGTACAAATAACATGTAAACAAACCGACTGACGGTTCTACAGAAAATAATACCTTTTGCGTTCCCGTGCACTTCTGCATCTGTTCTCCTTTTACTCTCATTTGAGAGAGTAAAATTGTAGTTTGACAGTTCCACAGGTTTTAGTCCGAAGTTCAAAGGAACAGACTATACGGTGGCGAGAATGTAAATAGGGAAAAGCAAATTTAGCAAGTTTTGATTACTTCCTTTTTCAACATTTTTCAGCAGAGCCGGAATGTATGTTACAGTGGCGGACAATTTATTGTTATGTGGCAAATGAAGAGTTAAACCAACAGAGAAAGAGTAGTATTTGCTTTTTCGCACCCGTGCAATAATTTATGCAAGTACTTTTCGCCCCATCATTGCTACGAGTTTTTGTCGGCAAGTTAGGCTATCTGCACACTTGTCGTCCAATCATAGTTGCGTTATCGTCTCGCCCTGAAATTTTGAGCCGAGCACATGCATTTCAAAGGAGATCTGCACACTTGTCGTTATCGGCTAGTTATCGGCAAATGGTAGAAGATGCAGAAACGGATAAGTACGGCACTGTCGTTTGCTAATCGTTGTGCACGCATTGTTTGTTTACATTTTATGGGGGAAAATTAGTGAAAAAGTTAATATTTGCATTAAAATTGTATAAAAATTAGTATTTTTTTGCATAAAATCTGTGGAAATCATTAAAAAGTGGATAATTGCATTAAAATTTAATAAATATGAGCGTTTTAACTATAAAATATGACGAAATTGTATTAAGTCTCTGTGTGCATACACAAAACACATTCCAGGAAAAGAAAAGTAGAGATATTACTGGAAAATTACGTCTAGAAATGTTGCAGCACAGTCTATATTTAAAAAATTGCAGGTTTTTGTAAATATTTCGCGAAAATATCAACCAAAAAAAACAGAAAATACCTGCTCCAAGTGAATTTTTAGACGCCAAATGAATTGAAATATCACGACCAAGTGTGCAGAAGTGTAATCGTCATGTAATCGTTGCTTCATGACGATAACTATGACTCAACTATGATTGGACGACCAATGAGCAGAAAGCCTTAGTTTACAACCGATTGGAAATTTCTGCGCGATAAGCATATTAAATAAAAGCCTGTAAAAAACAACAAAAATGTGTTAAGATATGTATGTGTAGATGAGAAGCTTTTTGTAAAGAATTTCATAAGGTTTTTGCAACGCCAGAGAAACTAATGAGTGTGATAATCGTGTCTGTAAAAAAACGGGTTTTAAGGTTCTACCAAAAAATTTGATGACAAGACTTTTTTGAACAAACAACTAGGTTCCTAGTGATTGCATGTTGGCTAGGGTGGTCCAAAAATTCATGTGAAAAAGTAAAGTCGGAATTTTTATGCTCTCACCCCCTAGGATTGTTCCATACCGAAAAAATTTACCCCTATTTTTTATTTTGAAATCAAAAAATATTTAGAGGTCGCTTAAAGCGCGCAAAGTTTTACATGTATTTTATGTGGGGAAAAGAAATGGGATAGAATTTTTAAAAATCTATATTTTTGTATCGGAAAACTCTGTTTATCTGCAGGAGATTCCCAATAATAATACCCAATTGTTTATTTAACCATTTTTCATCGCAACTATAATTTATAGTACCGCCATAAGGCCACAAAAACCCCGAAAAATGCAATGGGGGGACCAATAAAAAATCGTTAGTATTAAAAAATGGTTAAATAAATAATTGGGTACTATTATAGAAAGTCTCCTGAGGAGAACAAGAGTTTTCCCCTTCAAAAAATATTTATTTTCAAGAATTCTATATCATTTCTACGAAAAGTTGCTTGCGCTTTGAGCGACCTCTAAATATTCTTAAATTTCAAAATAAAATAATAGGGGTATACTTTTTTCGCTACAGAACAATCCTAGGAGGTGAGAGCATAACCATTCCGACTTTATTGTTTTGGACCACCCTAATGTTGGCCCCCCTGAATGTGCTTTAATCCGGACCTGGAGATTGTCGTGGTTTTCCAAACTTTCTTCTCACTTCTACCACACAGTGGTGCCAAACTGGAATTTACTGCTCAAATAGTCCAGAACCTTATTTGATAAAAGTTTTTTAGTCGAAACCTAATGGGATTTAGCAGAGATGTGTTGAGCCCGATTTTTAATTTTTATATTTTTTATATTACATTTTGCAAAGTGCAGCAAAGGTAGACATTTTTAAGAAAACCTCGATTTTCCTCTTCTTGTTAATGAAAGTAATATAATAAAAAATAGTTGAAAACAAGGACAGGGTTCTCCCAAAACGTAAAAAATTGCACAAGAAAATTTGGAAATTTGATTACGAAATTTTCAACAAAATTAAATTTTTATGTATGCAGTTTTTGGGCCATTAAATTATAGTACAGCCTGAAAGTTACAACTGGCTAAGAATTCACGTAGATTTTTAATATTTTTTTTCGCTGACAGTGCTTTGCATTTTCTTCCACATACACATATACTATATATTTATGTACGTAAAGGGTGTTCGATATGACTGAAAAATAAATTCTTTAAACCAACGCGATTTTTCAACCACTTTAATAGGCTATACATTTTTTTTAACATTTTAAATTTTACTTCTGCATTTGTTTTTTTGGACCCTATACAATTTTTTAACTACTTTTTATTATATTACATTCATTAACAGGAATAGCAGTGGAATTCTGACAATCGCTACGCAATATTTTTTGTGGCCAAGATTCTCTAGACGAAAAGCAGTGGGGGCTAAAAGCATACAACATAGAAAATAGCGAAGTCAGGTAAAAAGCGAAGGTTCTGGATTATTTTGAACAGTAAATACTGGTTTCGTAATAGGAGGGTATTATAACCCATTAAATACTAGCTTAAGAAAGTGCAAGTCTCAAGTGGCTAAAACATTTTTTTTAATGGAAGAAAAAGATAACACACAATAGGGGTATTCACGATCCAGTGCATGTTGTCTATCATGGTGCATAGATAGCATAAATAGCATGACTGGATAATTTTGTTGTTGTTTGCTATCTATGCACCGTGCTAGACAGTATATACCGGATCGCGAATGCCCCTAATACGTATGTAGTATGTTGTAATGCGATAAAAGCATACAATTTGCAACCCTATAAATCACCTTGTATGAACACACCTTAAAGCTAATCTAATACAATAATTTACGATATTAAAAATGCAACACTGTTCTATGTACAACAGCAGCTAGGTTTAAGACGAAAGTGAAAAATAAATTAGCGGCATTATTACGCGTACCATTCAAGCGACAAGTTGTGCTTCATTTTTATAAAGCGGGTTCGGCTGCCCGGCAATTGGGGAGTACAGCACCG